GGCAGCCCAGCTCCAGGTTGAGCTGTTGTTCAGCATCTTAGCTGTAGAGGGCAGTGTCACTGGCCCTCACATGTGGGATCCCAACTGGGGCCCTCTGGCGTCCCAAGCCAGCTCTTAACCAACACACCACTCGGCTGGCCCCTGCTTGAACTTTTAATACTCCTTCTTAAACATAGCTAAATTTTCAATAAAACTGTAGCTGTCCTAAATGTCACAATTGAACTAAATAATTCAACACATCCACACATGTAGCTCTCAGTACAAGAGTTACATTGAAAAAGGCCCCAGTATAACCCTTTAGAGAACCATTCATTACTCACCTATTGCTATTCCCTACTCGAATGCTCCTCTTTACCTCTCAAACAAGAGGCACACTTCCCAGTCTATTACTTTAGCCTATTTACTGCCCATCATTGCACGGATGCTTCTCTCTTGAAAGTGAAATTGCACCCACCAGCAGTCATCTGTGTACTGAGTCCTGGGCCCTGGCTCCCGACACAGTTCTACTTTGGGTGCTGTGCCGGGATCCGGCTCCAGACACACAGAGCTGGGGAACTCACAGGCTGGGAAACTAAAAACAGGGGTGAGTCCTGCCTGAAGGATGAGAGCTTTCTTTGGGATTCCTGAGTTTGGGGGTTTAAATGATTACGTGGGACTAGTCTCAGATAGATCTGGGTGGGTTCTGATCTGAGCACTCAGCTACTGGCTGTGTGACTCTGGTAAATGATTCAACCCACTTGAACATTCACTTTCTCACGTTTAAGTGAGATATCCCCCATCTGCCACACCGCCTCATGTGGTGCTGAGGATTATAGGAAATTGCTTTGAAGCAGCACAGTGCCTGAGACAGCTAACTTTTCAGTAATAAAGATGCTAGTTTTATCCAGATCCCTAGTTTTGAGCATTCTCCCCAAGAGCTGTTGTCTCTCTTAAAGAAAAAAATTTCCCCAAAACTTTATACAAGTAGCTTGAAGAGGCAAAGTGCTATTGAAATTGTCTCTGTTCCATTTGACTGCAAATGAACAAAGGCGCCCTAGCCTAAAGAGGCAAAACAGAGTCACCACCACACAGCACAGGTGTGACGATCCTATAAGATCTGCGTTTAAGCCCCGAGTCTCAGGAAGTTTGGTCTGTTTCCTGGGAACTCTCAACACAGCAAGAGGGGGTTTTTGAAAGCTTGGTCTAAGGGCCTCTAAACACCCTAAATACCGCATTCCTCTGCAGCCCTCACATTCTGGCCACGCACGAAGGAAGCAGAGTGCTGGGAGGCAGAGATCTGGGGTGTATGGAGCCATTTTATGAAGAAACTCTGGATACTAAAGGTATAAGGCTACCCTTTCCTAAAGAAACGCTCCGCAAACTGAGAGCTTTGCCTTTGGTGACAGAAGACAGGTATTCACACCAGGAAGAAGCGCATCACAGAGCTGGTAGTACTGGAACATTTCCTAATTATCTCCCCACATATAATAGAACTTGGATGAGGTTTCAACACAAGGGGAGCCACAGAAAGGCAGTGGCTTGGTGGGGAATCTAACCCAAGTATCTGACTTCTTCTCCTTGACAGATCATGAAGAAGGAAGGAATAAGACATGCCATATGCTGTAGACTTCACTCTACAAGAGGGGCCAGTGTACTAGACTGTGCTCAAAGGAGCCTGTTCTGAGAAGTCAGGCTTGTGAATTATGGAACGTCTGCCAGAAATAGCTTTGTAAGTCATTCTGCCCATCACCAAATTCTGAACTAAGCATTATATTTCCAAACCAGATGGGATTTCCTTGCCAGGACAGAGCAAAGAATCATGGCTGGACAGGCAAGGAACCCCCATGAAACACCCACATAGGCTATGGGGCCTCGTTACTTTTGAAAATAAAACAATTCCAGAGCAGAGCTCTTCTGAAGAAGACCCCCTTTACTGCCAAAAAAAATGGAAAGATACACAGCATCGCTCTGTGCCTATACTAGGAAAAATCTCTGCGTGAGCTTTCAAGTTTGAGAAACCCTAGGAGAACCAGGAAGAGACAACCAGAACAAAGTGCCGACCTGGAAGTGACAGTGAAAACCATGAATCTGAGAAAAACTAAACCGAAATCTAAGAATCCTTGTTCCATTCTTGAGAGTTCCCCCAAAAACACGTGTAAGTAAACATGGTTCGCATGTTAAGTATCTGAAACGATTCAAAATTTACCTTATTCATCTGCAGAGACGAAAACCTGTAAAGCTAAGGACAAACCTTCAACCAGAACATTCAACTTTTTATCTAATAAGAAATAAAACTGGAAATAAACCCTGTAAATGTAATGAATGTGTAGTAAGTCTTCTAATGTCATAGATACTTCTCTCCTCCAATATTTAGGAAAATCAACACAAGAGAGAAACTATAGATCTAAACAATGAAGAAAAGCTTCTCTCCAGAGCTCAATTCTCATTCAAAAGCAAATCATGCACCCTGGATGAAAACCCTAAGAAATAGATGACTATAGAAAATCCCTCAGGCCGGCTGAGTGGCGCATTGGCTAAGAGTTGGCTTGGGATGTCAGCTCTGAGCAGCAGGGCCCTGGTTTGGATCCCACATGAGGGCCAGAGACGCTGCGCCCTCTACAGCTAAGATGGTGAACAACAGCTCGACCTGGAGCTGGGCTGCCACGAGTTGCCAGCGACAGCGTACGCTGCAGTGGGCTGCCATAAGCTACCGTGAGTGGCTGACAGCCGGCGTGAGCTTTCATGAGCTGCCGTGAGCCACCATCCAGTGACCGGCGAGCGACTGCCTCACCAGGGAAGAATGCAATGATAATACCAACATGGGCCAGTGAAGCGACATCCTCCACAACTAGACTAAAGAACAAAAGGAGAGCAACTTGTCTGTTCCCCTTCCCCCGATTCCCCAATGCTGTTCCCTCCCCCAATTCTCCAATAAAATCTTAAAAAAGAAAAAAAAAAAGAAAATCCCTCCACCAAATAGAACTACCAATATGCTACCAATTAGAGTTTCATCCATAACCGTTACAAAAACAAAGTGAGAATTTGTCCTGTTTACACACCCTGAAAAATATATGGGTCTGGTAGCATTTGTGATCTAATAAAACATTGTTAGGGAATGGGTTACTGCTAAGGTATTTTAACAGTTAGTCACTTGAAATATAAATTGGATTAAAATTTAAAAAAAAAATTATATTTACTTGAGCTTTTTGTTGGAAGGCCAAGTAGTTCTTTATTTCTGTATATAGTCACTTAATCATAATAATAATGTCTGTGGAGAACACAGAAACACTTATAACCAGTGGCTTCCAAATCAAGATAGTGGGTTACATGCTCACACTTCTTTCTCCTTTCTCTCTTAAAACCCCATTCAATTAAAAGAAATTTTAAATGATTTAATCTCACTAATAATGGAGAATAGGAAGGAAGCCATCTGTGAAAAATCTTAAATTTCTAGAAGATGAGCAATAAATGGAAGAGGTGACAGGGGGAACAGAAGTCAACAACTAGAACATACGAGAGAGCTAAGAGTAGGGCACAGCGTCTTATTCAAGATAAGCTTCTGGTGTTAGCCCGCTTGGATCCTGGTTGTGCCACTCCCTAGTTCTGTGACTCTGTGGGGCTACTAAGCCTCCGTTTCCTATCTAAAATATAAGGAAAGTAGTGATTTACAGCCTTAATACAGTGATTAAATAAGAAAATACATATAAAGTTCTTGGCACAGCCTTATACAGTTAATAAACGTTAAGTATTATTGCTGTTATCAATTAACAATCACAATAACAAAGTTATAAAGAAATAAAATGAAACTTAAGTTACAATGTAAACAGATAATAATTCTAATTTTATACATTTTCGGAGAAGCTCCAGATGACTCCAGAGAATTTCTCCCCGAGGGACTCGCTGAAAAAAATCTTCTTGGTTGAGACTACATAATTCTCGTCCTGAAATGTTGAGTGTAGTGAGGTCTATGTCAGTCATACTGAATTCCTTCATTACCCAAACTACCCAATGCAAGACTTGGTCTGTAGACCACTGTACAGGATCTAAAAAAAAGAAAAGTATTACCATTAAGCTAGTTCCATCTTAAATATTATATAAATTTATAGTTAACTTATCAACACACACACACACACACACACACACACACACACACACACAGATAAAATTCAGACACCTTGCTTTCCCCAAGTAAATTCAGTATACGAAGTAAAAAGATTTTTATGCTCCATTTTCTCCTCAGTTCCTTTTTAATTTTTAATCTAAATTTTTGATGGATTCACTTGGCTCTACATCAGTTAGTCTGGAATTTTATCAAGAAAAACAAAATGCAAAATTGTTCTCCAGTGGGCCACATGGAATAAAATACATGATTACCCTGGAAGAACGGAGTAAGTTATCCAAGTTTTAAAAATTATTTTGTAGTGGCGTATGATCTGGAGCGTGGAAAAAAAACTAAAAGGGGTTTCTAGGGAGCTAGGTTTAGTCTCCAAAATGTGAACAATGTACTCAAAAGGGAATGAGAGAATAAAACTCAGAAAAAGGAAAACAGGAGATCCAGGGGAAAATGGCGGATCCAGCCCTGCAGGAAAGTCAAGATGTCCTACAGTGACAGCTTTGTGGCAGACATAGAAAAATCCAACCCAGAGATGCATGAGGGTTTGGGAAAAACGAACGACAGGCGCAAAATAGACTGATAGAAATGGGAGAAGTAAGTCTCGGTATATACAGAAATCTATGCAACTAAAAAACAGGCAAATTTTGAACTTTAGGAAAACTAAATGTTGTATAAATGTAATCATAGTCATGCAAGAAATAAATTTTCATACTGCACACAATGATTAATGGCAAAAGTTACATAACAAAATTAAGAAAATGGGGAAAGATAAGGTTTAATTTTGTTTTACAGGGTCGAGAGAAGTACAGTAAAACCTTGGGTTGCAAGTAACGTGGTTTGGGAGTGTTCTGCAAGATAAGCAAAGGTTTCTAATACATTTTAATGTGGTAAACGAGCGATGTCTTGCAATACGAGTAGTTTATTTCCGGAACGAATTATGCTCACAAACCAAGGTACTACTGTGGAAGAGAACTTAACCTCATCAACTATAGCAGGAAGTTAATGATGATTAAAAGTAGCAAAGCAAAAAGTGGTTGTGGCTGGGGAGTAAGATTGAAGAAAAGACATGTTATAGAACTACTGTTTTTCCTAAGACTTTCTTTAAACCAGACTTGAAAGATACATAATAAATGAGAGCTTACCCATGGAGATGGGAGACCTATGGACCTAGACAGCTAGCTAGATATAGACCAAATTTATCTAATCTGTGTTTTATTTTTTGAATATACGTATAATACTTTTAAATGTTACTATCTGACAATGCTGGGAGCCAAAAACATGAGTATCTGTCCTTCTTTTTAATTATTCAAACAACTGGAAGTAAAAATAAAAATAATCTCAACATATTCATCTTTAAACACTTTTTTTATTTAATAAAGGATAAAAATAATATATTCACTCTAATTTTACTCTTAGTTTTAACATTCTCTGTAATTCATCAATTTGACTTCTAACTACTATAAATTCATTGAGTTTTGTTCACAGCTGTTTAATATAAAATAGCAAAAAAAAGTTAATATGAAAAGGAATTAAAGTCCTGAAAAATTAAAAACTGAAGGAAAAAAATATGAATATATATAAATATATATGAAAATATGAACAGATGGCTCTAAGCTCCTGTCAAGACATAAAATTGGTGTGTGTGAAGTGAACTTTAGGGAATTTTCCAATGTGGACTAAATTTCAAAGAGATTTAAAGTAGCTATGACCAATTAACCCTATTTCAATTTTGCACAGAATTAAGCAATTAGCAAAAAAAAAAAAACTACCCTTAGGTGCAGAAATAGAAACCTAAAATGATAGTTTCCTAAGAAAATATTAATCATTTCTAAAACTTTCTAGTAGGTAACAATTTCATGAGAAAAATCAGTGATATTTTAAAGTCTTTCTATACCTAAATAAATCTCAAAATCTTAAAAAGAGTTTTCATTCTAAGTAAACAACATTCTTGTTGGAACTTTGTCAGGGTTTATAATCAGGCTATCTACAAATCATTTTTATACATCACTTTCCATAAAAGATTCTACTACTTAAAGAGTTCTTGTTGAAGGTCTAGCGAACTCTATAAAACATTATTTGAAATGTTTTTATGCTACCTTCTTTCCTTCGCAGCATCCTCCTCTCAAGAGACGACTCTAAACTTACTAACACTAAGATCAAGTACACCATCCATACTGGCTTCTGCATGTCAAAAATAACATTTTCAACTGTCCTATCTCTAAGGAATGGCTAGATCTTATCCTTTAAACTTGGCTCTTTTTTATGTTATTATGCTCCAATTAACGACCCCTCTCCTTGCTTGTTTAATCTCTCCTCCTACTAGTTCCATACCATTTGCCTACAAATATACTCAGGTCACTACCAGCTCTTCAATCTTCAATATTCTTTATTTATTCCCCCAGCACTCCTCCCACTTGCCCTCCATCAAAAGTTAATATTCAATTTTCTCCATTTCTATAATGTCTATTTCTTATAATTCAGCTTTGTCTCTCCATTTGTATAGTTACTTTTACTTAAATCTACCAATGAGCCTCTGATTGCCAAATTTAATAGCCATTACTCTGTTGGCATTCTTTGACTTTCTTGGCGGCATCAAGACTTCTGATCATCTAAAAACTCTCAACTGCAGTAACACTGTACATAGATCTTACTCTCCTTCTATCTCTTCAGCTATTCCATGTCTCCTTCCTCTTCCTCAACCCTAAATGTTGACAAGGTCCAAGAACCAGTCTTTAACATTGTGTTCCTTTCCATTTTCTCTCTCTCCATCAGAGACTGTACAGACTTTTATGGCTTCAATACAAATTCAATGTGACCGAGTCCCAGATAACATCTTTATCATCCCAGCTTGAGAAGTTAGATGAATACTTGAATCTCCCCTCTCTACCTTCACAAAAATCCATCAACCGGTTGCTCAGTCCTATCACTACTGTGGTATCTCCTCCTTTCTACTCCCACAGGAACCACCTGGTCTAGGCTAACCCAGACCTTATCATGTAGTCACACCTCAAGTACAATAATAGTCTCATTTCCCCTCACTGTCTCTCCCTGCTCCAACTTATGCCATATACCACTACCACATTCATTTTCAATTGTCATTTCCATCAATCAAAAACAGTTCTATAAGGCTGCAAAATAACTCCTTACCCACTAAATCTTCCCACTACTCCTGCATACTCGTACTTCTACTTCTCAGCTTTGCACATACATTTCCTATCTGGAATGTCCTTCTCTGCCCAACAATTTCTTTGTCCATAATAAACCCTTTCCCAAATTTCCTCAAGGCCACTATGAGTCCTTTGACATTCTAATATATTTGTTTATACCAGTTTCTGGCAGCTTAAAAACATGTTATCTTTATGGCAATTAACTCTTTTCATCTATCTTCTCTCTCTTCAACCACAATAAAAACACCTTAAGGGCAGAAATTTTTTTTTTATACAGTCACATACTACATAATGACATTTTGGTCAACAGTGGACATTTATGATGGTGGTCCCATAAGATTATGGAGCTGAAAAATTCCTATCACCTGGTGACGTCATAGCCATCGTAATGCTATAGCCATAGTGCAAACACTGCAAAAATCCACAAGGCTGTGGCTGAGAGGGCGACCAACTTAACGTGGGTGTGGGTATGACATTGCAGCGATCCTAGAGCTGGTGCCTGGAACCGGCCAATGAGACCTTGAGGGAACTGGAAAAGGAACGCATAGCTGAAGAAGAGGCAGGAGAAAAGGAAATTGCGGGTGAAGAAAAAGAACCCCCAAGAAATTCACAGTGAAGGTTTAGCAGAAGCTTTTGCAGACCTCAACAAGCTCCTTAGAAAGTTAGAAAACATGGACCCCAACACTGAAAGGTTTTCATTAACAGAGAGGAATGTTCATGGTGCATTATCTGCTCACAAGCAAAGCCATGATGGAAAAAAGAAACCAACCAAGCAAACCACCATGGACATATTTCTGAAAAGAGTAACACATCCTCAAGAAGGGCCTCAGGCAGGTCCAAGAAGAAGACACTGTCACCACAGGAGAGGACAGCTCTCTGTGTCACTGCCCGGAATACCTTCCTGTGGGACCCGGTGTGGAGGTGGAGGACAGTGATACTGATGATCCTGACTCTGTGTAGACCTAGGCTAGGGTGTGTGTTTGTATCTTAGTTTTTAACAAAAAAGTTTAAAAAGTAAAAAAAATCATAATAATTTTAATAGTTTACAGAATAAAGATCTAAAAAAAAGAAAATATTTTTGTACAGCTGTACAATGTGTTTGTGTTTTAAGCTAAATGTTATTACAAAAGAGCTGAAAAATTAAGTTTATAAAGTAAAAAAGTTACAGTAAGCTAAGGTTAATTTACTATTGAAGAAACAAAAATATTTTAACGTAAATTTAGTGCAGCCTAAGTGTACGGTGTTTATAAAGTCTGCAGTCGTATACAGTAATGTCCTAGGCGCCCCCAGTCACTCACCACTCACTCACTGACTCACCCAGAGCAGCTTCCAGTCCCACAAACTCCATTCATGGTAAGTGCCCATACATGTGCACTATTTTTATCTTTTATACCGTATTTTTACTGTACCTTTGTTTAGCTACACAAATAGTTACCATTGTGCTATGATTGCCTACCATATTTAGTACAGGAACAAGCTATACAGGTTTACAGCCTAGGAGCAATAGGCTATACCATATAGCCTAAGTGTGTAGTAGGTTGTACCATCCAAGTTTGTGTAAAGTGCGCTCCCTGATGATTGCATAACAATGAAATCACCTAATGACGCATTTCTCAGAATGTACAGCCATCGTTAAGCGACGCATGACTGTTTTTTATTTCCAGAACCCAGGACAGTATTTGTCTATCATGTGTTATAGTCCCTTCCAAAAAAGAATATAGAAAATCAATATTTTCCCTAAAATTTCTACATCTAAAACAGATACCCCAGCATCTTTTATGTCAAGCTTAATTCCCATTATTCTACCTAACGTGGACTGATGTGTTTTCTCACCATAGGGTATCCCAAGGCGTTCTTGCTCTTTCCTATAACCTTCTAGTGCAGCAGCCCATCTTGTCACTTGTTCTGAGGTTTCATCTGAAATGGTTGTAATGTGTTTTGTGCCATCGAGAGTTATCACTTGAGCTTCCTCAACAAGATGTGCTTCTGCTTCAGCATGGTGGGCATCTGGATCGATAACGACTTCAACTGTTTCCGCAGGTTTAACAATTTCAAGGATGTTGAGCTTTGGTTCAATTCCTTAACAGTGAATTAAAAACAAAATCTAAATGAAAACATGCAAGTCACTAACAAAATTTAGTTTATTTTATGTGTTCTCAAATGGTAGAGCAAAGCTCCGTTTTAAGTATTTTTAGCAGTATGTCTAGAGAATTTAACAGATTCCTATTAAATAATAAAAACAACAACTCAACAGAACTTTGGTAGGTTAGATAACAGTGTTGTGTCAATTAAGATTTCCTGATTTTGATAATTATACTGAAAAAGAATCTTATTTTTTGAAAACACACACACTTATGTATTTAGGAATAGAAGGAGAACACGTCTGCAACTTATTCGTAAGCAGGTCAAAAAAATGTGGGGGTGAGGGAGAGAATAAACAAATGTAATTAAAGTTAACATTTGGGGAATCTGGGTGAAGGGTATCTAGTAAGTGTGTTACAATTCTTGCAACTTTTCAGTAAGTCTAAAATGATTTCAAAACACCACCACCACTGCCACCACACACACATACCCCTACCTACAAACATTAGGAAAAAAAGTACCAATGTGGAATAGAAAATAAAAATTAGACTAGGAAAAGTATAAATGAGTAGTTACTCACCCTACTAAACAAATTATTTACTGACTACTTTTCTTTTTAAAGGACAAAGTACATATTTTAAAAATGCATAGTTTGTTAAATTGAATTTACATCATTAAATTCTGATATTCACTTGCAATTGCATGAAGAAAAACTCAAATCCTTAAGATATTCAAAACAGAATAAACTAGCCTTTTATGATACATCAGATACTTCTGTTAAAATGACAGCTTTAAGAAACTATCATACTGCTTCAGCTTTAAGAAACTATCATATTGTTTAATAGCTACTGTTTGCTCACTGATTCTGTTACAATCTATATCAAAATGTAGTCAAAATGCATTTGAAAGAAACAAAACAATTTCAAACTGCCGTGAAAATCAATATAAGAAAATACATAGCTATCATTCATTAGGTGGTATAAACAGAAGTCACTTTTTTCAAATATACACCAAAAAAAAAACAGAGTTTTTGAAAAATATTTTTCCTAAGACTTATCCCCTAATCCTCTATTTTCAAATTTCATCAAGTAAATTCTTCTTGATGAACACGTGCATTGAGAGGTCAGTAGGCTTTTAATGATAAAAACAAAGATTTTTTTTCCTATTCTCAGCAATAGTCAATCATGGGGAAATTAAGGATCAAAAGTAGATAACTACTGTTTTCAGTCTGAAGAAAACTCTGGTTTGTGAAACATAGTTGTAAGCAATATATGTTCAGAGATTACAATTAGTCTGAAACTCCGGTTAGAAATCCCAACAAGCCACATTTAAAAAAAACTAAAATTCAACCCACCAGAAATGGTTTCCTAATTTTCTTTCTAACTTGTGTACTTATGCAAAGATTAGTGAAATGCTGTGAGGATATGGCTGACTGGGTCACTCAACATCCTTTGCAAATTCCTCTTTTTGTGCTAAAACTGCAGAGACTAGATTTCCCTGCAGTGAGAGTTCCCGAAGTGATTTAGGCTCTAGAATCACTGGTGTGAGCCTTGTATTTAAAAATGAATTAAGAGGGGATAAGTAAGCACATGGCATCTATTTTTTAGCTACTGTGGATCACTAAAGGGAGCATGGTTCCAAGCTGACAGCTATAGTGGTGGCTTTCAGATTTGGCATGTTCCAGCTCATGGCAGCGCAGCAGCTTCCTCGGGAGTCCAGGTCTGCAGTGTGGCCAAGGGATCCTTATCAAGTCAACTAGAGCCTGCTCTTTTAGCCCTCTCTGTGATCCTGCTATTTACTAACTTACAATATACCCCTTCCTGCTAGGTAGAATGTGTTATACTATCTGCATCACCTTGACAGAGAAAATGATCAAATCAAAACATTGTCTGTAGGGGCCGGCCGAGGGGCTCAGTTGGTTAAGAGCTCACTCAAGAGTTTGAGCTCTGAGCAACAGTGGTTGGATTCCTGGCCCAAGCCGAGCAGCCGCTGAGCTGCCAACAGGTGGCAGGATGGCTCAGCTTAAAAAAACAAAAACAAAACATTGTCTGTAACATTAAGTAATTTAGACAATCATCTAAAACACCTAAAACTTATAAAATTGAGTTCTCTCTGTTAGAAAAACATGAGCTAAACTTTTAAAATAACTACACTAAAATTAACTTACCTTGGTAAGAAATTACCTGTACACTCAGCTGTACAGTTCCATCTGTCTTTACTCCTTGGTCAAATAAACTTCGTTCTGGATCCAGCTAAACGGGTAAAATGAATAAGATTATTTTAACACAATCATCTGCTTTAATAAAAATGGATGTACCAAACAGGAATTACTGAAGCACGCTAATTAAATTATAAGAATACATTTAATTATCCAAGTTGTGATATCATTTAATTCTTTGCCAAAATTGAAAATATTTTAACCACTGTGATAGTAATTAAAGACAACATAAACAGAATTTAAGTGGTGGTTTTCTCTGGTTCTGAAGTCTTTAGGATTTTAAATAATCCCAAAAGGCAACTGTTTATTCTATATAAGTATTTAAAGTAGAAGAAAATGCAATTCATCTGTCATGAAAAAGCAAGGGTGTTTAATTAGTGGGGACAATTATTAACAGAATATTTGCCATATCTCCCTTGTAAACAATGACACACATTTAAGATCATGGTTAACTCTAAATCTCTGATCACGAAGTTAATAAAGTTAAAGGACTTATGACTTTACTACTGATCTAGTTATGAACCTCTTTAATTATAATTCTATATCCTTTCAACATCAGTGCTTTTTTTTTCCTTCATATCTCCTTACATTGAATCCATTTCACACAATAACAAATTGATGACAAAAAGTAATTGACTTCTAGACATTTTCGGTTGCCAGTTTAAAAATAGCCTTCCATTGTAATTATCTTGAAGAATGTGTCTGTGTGTGTCTGCATATCATAATGCTGGAGGCATAAGGTTCCCCTACTCTCACTCCCAAGAATTCAGTAAATACTGTAGTGTAGTACAAACATATTTTTTTAATATTAAAAATATATACACATAAAGCCTAAAACCTTAAGTGACTATGCATCTAACCCAGCAGTTCTCAACCTTCCTAATGCCGCGACCTCTTAATACAGTTCATGTTGTGGTGACCCCCAGCCATAAAATTATTTTCGTTGCTACTCTATAACTGTAATTTTGCTGTTATGAATCGTAATGTAAATATCTTTTTGTTTTCCGATGGTCTTAGGCGACCCCTGTGAAAGGGTCGTTTGACCCCCAAAGGGGTCGCGACCCACAGGTTGAGAACCACTGATCTAACCTAATCAGGGACAAGACAAACTGTGTGCCCCCCCCCCCTCCGTAAACACAGGTCAAACGAGGCAGTTTCAGTCCTTAATATAATAGTCTCTCCCTGACACTGTGTTAAAAGTTATCCTAGTATCATGATTTCTCCCCTCTGTGGTAGACACTGGCATTACCCAGCAGAAGTATGGCATGTGTAACTCTGAAGTGAGCTCTCAGGTACTGAACACACTAGCTAGTTCAGTAAGACCGGGCACAGGACAAAACTCAAACATGGTATCTGATCTTGAGTCATATTCCTCAAAGAAGAGCAACTCAGCTGTTCCATCAGCTTTCAAGTCAGGATTCAGCTGAAAATACAAAAGCATTACCGCAAGTGGCAGGCGTTCTCACTCCAAATGTATGTTTATGTTTGCATTAACTGGCATGGAGAACAGAAACTGCTCTCCGTGGCCTTTCTGAGCAGAGGAAGGGGGACAGGGAGGTATGCAAAATGAATCAGACCTCAGGTTAACTCTGAATTCTATGATATGATGAGTTATGCATACTTCTATTTATTCAACAAATATTTATTGAGAATCTATGACAGGCTGGGTACTTTGCAGGTCTTACTTTCATTTTGGTTAAGCCAGGTATTATAAAAACCAAGAAACGTTAAGAGCTGAAAGACAAGTAATAGATGAAGTTCAGATTCCCCTGTATTTTACATATGAGAAAAACCAGGTCAACTCCAGTGACATTGAGTTATTCAATACAAACTTTCTTAAAAGTCTGCCTCGAGCCAGTGAAGAGTTTCAGAGTCACACAGGCCTGGGTTCAAATTCCACTGCAGCCCTTTGTAGCTACACACTGGATTGGGAAGACTGTTTAACCTCTTTAAATCTCAGTTTCTCTTATCTCCAGAATGTGACTAAGAATATGCTGGCTTCAAAGGCTGATGTGAAGGTTAAATAAGATAATTCAGGAGTGTTCTGCAGTTATTTTTTCATTCAATGTAAACGCCCATACAGCTCTAGTTCACCCTTTTTAAAAAATATTTTATTGGGGAATCAGGAAAGGGGAACAGACAAGCGCCATCCCCTTTCTCCTCAGTCCAGCCGTGGATGACGTCACTTCACTGGGCCATGTTGGTACCATCACTGTGCTCCTCCCGGGTGAGGCAGTCACCTGCCAGCCACTGGACGGCCGCTTATCACAGCACATGCCCACTGCCAGACAACCGCACAGCAGCCTAAGCCGTCGCCGGCAACTCACGGCAGCCCAGCTCCAGGTCGAGCTGTTGTCACCATCTTAGCTGTAGAGGGCGCAGCGCCACTGGCCCTCATATGTGGGATCCGAACCGGGGCCCTGTCGCTCAGAGCCCGTATCCCAAGCCAACTCCAATTTTTAATGGCTGCCTCAAATTCCAATCTATAGAATTTATTTATCCAATTCCCTATTTTGGGAACATTTGAGTTTTCAGTTTCTGCACAATCATGCAAAGAATATCTCAGACATACACCTCTGCTCAGGCAGGTGAGCATTTATGGACAAACAATTCACTGAGGTGGAACTGCTAGTTATTTCACATTCAAGATCAATGGACACTAAAAGCTGAATTACCTTCCCCAAAAAGTGTTAGTTTATTCTTTCACTGCAGACTGAAGAAAACCTTAAATCCTGAAATTATAATATTAGGCCCACCTACATTGTTCAGTTTTTGAAGAGCAATTTCCTCCCTCCCCCAATATTTGCTAGACTTATTAATAGGAAAATATATAAGTATGGTTAAATGGCAACTAAAATACACAAATTTCATTAAAACATTTCAATTTATTGCATATCAAACTCTTAAAAATAGTACACATATGATTTTAATTTTTTTTTTAAAAAGCAAAAGTTCTATAATATACAGAAGGGAAGAAGTAAAGAATAAAACTAAATTAAAAAGATGACACAATATACATTAGTACAAATTAGTATTAGAAAACAGTATAAAACTCTAGTGTATGATCAAGGAAGGTCTGGGGAAACTATTTGAGCAATCCAATCTAGCTACTACTTTTTATAAAAAAAAAAAAAAAGACTATAAATATTCTGAAAACATAATACATTGTTACAATACTACCACAGGTAAAATCCTATTGCTTTAATAAACTCCAATAAATATAAACATTGGTATTGAAATTCTTATCCAAAATTTACTGCTGGAGGAAATAAAGATGGAAGGTAATATGAAAATCATTTGGTAAAATTATCTCATTTTAAAGATGAAGAAACTAATGCACAAAGAAGTTAAAAGCAATTTACAAATAGGGTTAGAACACTCTTTTTCAGCTTCCAAGGTCAATGTACTTCCCATTACCTTATGATTAAGCTCTGATTCAAATTTAAACTTCTCATTTTTTAATTTGTGAAAGTAAAAAAATGAAATGTTTGATTCAGTACTCAATCTTTTAAATATAACTTTAAATGGAGAAAATTGTGCTGAAAGAACTTTTATTTCTAAATGCTTAAATTTTATAATAATATAGGTCAAATCTAGCTGTAGCCTATAGAGATTAAAGGCCAACAAAAAAAATTTTTCTGATACAGAATTAATTGCTGAAATACAAATCTCAAAAAAAAAGAAAAAAGAGTACCTGGATATCTTGCAGGCAAATTTCATGAGCATCCAAAGAACACTGTAGTCTTGGTTCTAGCAATTTTTTTAAATTGCCTATTGGCTCATTGATGTCTATGGCCTGGCTTACACATTCAGCTGGTGTGTAGGTTTGTTCTACAATGCTAAACGTTAAAGAATATAATAGTTAACAATTACATTTTTACCCTGGGTATTAAAGTAATAATTTGCTCAAAACAAAATTCAACACCAAAACACATTTCTGGTCTTTGAAACTCATTTCTGCATAGATAGCATTCATAGTGGTAGACTCATCAACCAACTAGTGTTGCCAAACTGAATACTGAATTGCACAAAGAAATGCTAACTTGAAATTTAAAGCACCCTTGCAAATGTATCTCATTCTGTATATACATGTGTATGTATATACAGTACATATAAATATTGCATATACAATATTTAAGGGGAAATGTTTGCATTTGTTATATCTTCAAGTCTTCTCAAAATTTGTAAGCCAACTCTACTAGTCAATTTCCCTTCCCAACTACAATTAAATAAATGTAAATTATAAGATATGAAAATATAAGTTACATAAAATACTTTCCACTTAATTTAATCTGAAAATTACTGGTTATAATCAGCATAGCTCCACATTAAAAAAATTATATTCTTTCTTTAAAACTCTGTTAGGGCTCTTTCATGTTGTTATTTCACAATTTGAATTCTACGGAACTGTAAGTTCCTTAAAGGTAAAACCTTTGGTAAGTAATTCTATGCATCTTTTGTAAATCCTTATTTGGGGCCAAATAGAAGACAGACACCAAGTAATCCTTACTGAATTCGTAAATCTGGAATTCAATTAAGTTTCACATATTTAATTTAAATATGATTTAAATCTCATTTGCAGTTGTCAAAAATAGTATTTAAAAATTTGTCAAGTTCCATTTTCACATAAATTCCAACTATAATGCAATATATATGGCATTCAATGAATGTATATAACCTAAACTCCTTCTAAAACTTTTAAAATTTATAAAATAGATGACTCTAGATTAAAAACAAATTGTTAAGTAACAGTAAACTATTATTATTGTTATTAGTTAAGGTAAAATAATTGGTTCTTTGGCTAAATACCGAGGGTGCCAAAAAATGTATATAAGTGGACACTTAGGTCAACATTGCTCAAGCAGTAGTTCGCCATAATCAGAAGTGTGTGCATGCTGACAGTAACCACTTTGAGCACCTCTTGTAATGCAGAGGTCACACGTGACTTGCATCCGTCTTTTGTTATCGGTATATTGAGTATTACAATTTAAAAAGTTTTTTCCTTTCTTAAAATGTGTATATATTTTTTTGGCATCCTCTGTAATTTTTATCAAATTCTTCAGCTATAGCACAGTGGGTTATAGCTTTCTTTTTTTGTTAACAATGATTCTTTAAGTCAGATGCCACTTTCAGACAGATTTTTTCAAAGACCTATTTTACATGAACTCAACATTTAAAACATTTTAAAATATTTTGTTGCCACCATTTAAGCCTTGGGAGGCTTACTACAAAAATCTGAATTACCAATTTCTCCTGAAAAAATCGGGATGATCTCAAGTCACTCGACCTAAATTAGGGCACAGCAACAATCTGCTACAGCTGTGTTACAACTGCTCCCTTTACACAGCTACTCCCCTGGTCAACATAGTAACTACCAATCTCTTACAGAAGGCAGGCGACATCAGCAAACTTTTTCTATAAGGGGCCAAATAGTAAAAACTTTAGGCTTTGTGGAGAGAGGGAGGGGGAGGGGGAAGAGGAGACACTTCTGAGCTAGAGCCAGACCTCTTCTCTGAGCAGAAGAGGAGGTGGAATGAGTAACCATAGCCTGCTGGCAGAAAAATGGCGAGTTGCTAATCAACTGGCATAAGACCTCAGTGATACCAGACAAGTAAGTTCTAGGGATCTGTGGTGCACTGTGCTTATAGTTAACAACACTGTACTGTGCATTTAAAAATCTGTTGAGGGTAGATCTCATGTTAAGTGCTGTTACCCCAATAAAATGAATTTTAAAAAAACTAAGGCCTTAAATTTCAGCTGCAGTCTTAACTCTCAGCATCCTATTCAACCTCAGTAATTTTGTCCATTCCCACTAGTTATTCTAAACCTTCTCTACAATAGTCCTCTTTTACTTTCAGCATATTATCTCATCTCCTGCTTTACATAGTAAAGTGGGACCAATAGCCCTAACCTTCCTCTACCTTCTCGACTCCCAAATCTCTAGTTTTACTCATATTCTCCCCTTGGATTCTGAACTTATTACCACTGCCCTCCTTCCTTAATGGAGTAATATTCTATTACTAGTCTAAGAACACTTTTCACTACTCTGTATGCTTAGTATTGTACATACAATTACTTCCACACCTATATGTCTCCTCAAATACAATGTGGCCTCTATAAGAACAGGTTACTGATTCATATATTCATATATTCCTGACAGTTACTAGTTCATAGCAGTTACTTACAGATATTTGCTAAATTAGTTCCAGCTGTGCATTAAACTTTTTCTGAAATAAAAGTAACCAGTACAGACAAAAGAAAAAAAAAGAGTCAAACAGTGCCCTAAGGGATAAAAATGATCACAATCAATTGCTTAATCATTATCAGCTATGCTAATTCTATCTTTAGTTTAAAACTTTTTCCCTCTCAGCTACAAACTCATTAAGTCAGAGGGAAAAAAATCAATACATTACTCCCCAAAATGCTGAGGTCAATTGAGAGAAAACAAACAAAACAAGACCCCACAAGAACTCTGGCTTGATTCTTAATTTTAATTAGGTATGTTAACAATATAAAGAGTGGTAAACTCAGAAAACACCCACCTTTCTTCTGTGCACTCTGCTTTCTCTGTTCCATCAATCTCAATTTCTATTAGCTCCTCTGCTTCTCTTTTAGTCATGGTTGAAGTATTTCAAACCTCAACCCTGTAAGAGTTAAATTATAAGACATTTTGAAGCTATCTACACAAACAGAAATGATACACAAGAAGTAGAAACCCAATTCAAATAAAAGCAGAGGGTAAATAGAAGAGGTGGAAGTAATGTCCACATAAAAGAAAACCCACAAACGATATTTACAAGGTGTGATTAAATATGGTGAATGTTTAAATTTAAAAAAATTATTACAGTAAAGTCACATTGCCATCAATCCCCCTCAAAATACTCCCCTTCACTTCGAACACCCTTATTCCCATCATTCTTGCCACTTTCTGAAACAGGTCTGGAAGTCCCTCTTTCATGAGTATCTTTAGTTACGCTGTCGTGGCTGCTTCGATGTCCTGCATCATTTTGACTTTGGGGAAGAGCCAGAAGTCGCACGGTGATACAGTGAATAAGGTGGATGAGGACACACTGTAATGTTTTTATTTGATAGAAATTGTCGTACCAGAAGCAATGTGCGACACAGAGCCTTTCTGTTGTGATAAAAAAATATGGTGAATGCTGAGGCCGAGGACCATCCAATGGAAAGGCAGGGGTCTTCAATACAGTTAAGTGGTGCATCAATAGTAACAGCATGTGGCAAGTTTCAACTTGTTTGATGAAGTCAGTTGGGTGTGAGCTACAGATGAGACAAAGTGTGTTTTAAAGTGTGCCATAAATCATCCTCCATCATGAAAACGCTCCGTGTCACACATTGCTTCTGGTACAGCAATTTGTCAAACAAAAACATTACAGTGTCCCCTCATCCACCGTAGTCACTGGATCTGGCACCATGCGACTTCTGGCTCTTCCCCAAAGTCAAAATGACTATGCAAGGTAAACGTTTTGAATCGATTCAGGGCATCAATGCAGCCACAACAGTGCAACTAAAGACACTCACAAAAGAGGATTTCCAGAGCTGCTTCAGAAAGTGGTAAGAATGATGGGATAGGTGTGTTCGTAGGGAGGGGGAGTATTTTGATGGGGGTTAATGGCAATGTGTCTTTCACTATAATAATTTTTTAAATTGAAACATTCACCATATTTTTTTATCACACTGCATATAAACTAGTTTTGTTTAGATCGTGTTTATTAGCCTGATATAGATTTGTTGAAATATTATTCAGCCCAATCTCAGTCAATAAATTAACTCAAATTACTTCAAAATCAAGTGAAAGGTATGTTAAGTATATTACAGCAACTCAATCTTAATAACAGACTCAAACCTGCAGCTTAAATAAAATCAACATGGAAATAAACTACAACTGTTCAGCTAAAAGCTGTACTTTATTAGCAGAATAAAGAATGTACTTTATTAGCATTGTACTGACAGAGTAATAAGAAATTAAAGTTACTCATAGCTTTGATTTGTGTTACAAATTACATATCTTTTAAGTACAATATTCTAAAACAGCAAAACAAAATCATTATCAATATGCACATGACTGTAGTTATTACAGTAGCACTAGGAAACTAACATGTCTTTCTTCCCACTTTTCAAAGGGCTGTAACTCTCCTCAGGTCCCAATATCTCCAACTGCTGGGGAGCTGGTTTTCTGGCAATTCAGTCTATAAATAGCTGGCATCCAAATCTAGATGCCTGGTACAAACATGGTCCCTTTATCACATTAAGGATGCTCTCACAACTCCCGTGTAGGAAGAAAGAACAATAAGAGGGTGGGATTCTCCACTAAAATAGATATATACACATCACGCTCACCCAGCAGACCAGCTAGGCCGCAGCCGACATTTGTTTGGAATAATAAAAGGATGAAGGACTTTTCTTTTCTTCTGACCTTGGCCTCCTAAGTCTTCCCTTTCACCAGTAAAGTCTATTCCTTAAGATTACTATGTGTAAAGCTGTGAAAGTCATCCTGAGCACTACAGTAAAATGGTGGTGACCCAGCAGATATCAACCTTATAGGACAACATAAGGGCCACCCAGGAAGGGATATTTGTTTACAAATGTATACAAAGTGCTTTGAACAGTGCCTCACCCTTAGTAGGCACTCTATTAATGTGTTGAAAATATGAAAAAGTTACAAGAACTATTACACGCCATATAAAATTGACTCCAGATGCCTTAAAGACTTAAACGTAAAAGGTAAAACTATAAAAGCTAATAGAAGAAAATGATGAGGATTTTTTCGTGGTTCATGGATAGAAAAAAAATTCTTAAATTCCATAAACATAAACCATAAAGAAAACACTGATGGATCTGGTTATATGAACATTAAAGTTTATGTTCAATAGATAGGCTACAATGTGGGAAAAGGTATTTCCAATATCCAAAAGTGACAAGGGACTAATAACTGGAATTGGCAGTGAACTCCTACAAGTTGATAACAACCCCACAAAAGTCAGGACAAATTACAAAAGCAGGTAAAGCATAGGAGAAGAAAATTCACAGAAGGGGAAACTAAGGCTATGAAGAAGTGTTCAAATTCATATCATTCAAAAATGCAATTTAAAACAAGGAACTACCCACTTTATACCATGTGTTTTTGTGTGTTGGGGGTGTATGGCAAAAATTAAAATGTAAAATGCTGAAAAGAATTAGCAAGGACATGGGGACATAAGAATCCTCTGCCTCTCTTGATGGAGTACAGACAGGTCTGGCAACTCTGGAGAAAATATTCTGGCAGGACTTGCCCAAATCAAGTATGCTTATACCTATGACTCAGCAATTTCACTCTCAGAAAAGCATTCCAGGGACAGTCCCAAATTGATTGATAAGGATGTTTACGTCAGCTTTGTTGGTGACAGCTGGAAGCTGGAGACAATACAAGTATCCATAGTAAGAAAGTACTGTGCTACAAGAAAAAGGGAAAGCATACACCATAGAAGTTTGGAAGCCATTAAATACAACACAAAATCATAAAAACTGTTCTGTACTGAAAAAAAAAGTGAACAGTAAGGTTCACAGTAGAACAACACTTTAGAAGATCTTTATCTAATTTTCTGTGCCTATAAGGAAGTCCACTCCTATCTCCATAACCTTTTTTGAAAAAAAGCATTAGAAAACAACTGAATTTTCTGGGAACTTTGGAAAGAATAAATAAGTATATGAGGAAGTAACCAGAAGTTGAGAAATGGCCCTAAAGGCTTAGGCTTAACCAGGAGGGATACCTGTGGTCCCCCACTATATAAGCACTAAAACAGGGAGTTGTTAAAAAAGAAACTTACCTTATCATCTTCCCAAAAAGTTATAGATCAGTCCCCAGAAGATGCAGACTATAGAAAAAATGAACCTCATAGACTTTCGGAAAAAATACTCATAGTCTCTAAGTTGATCTTTTTCTCAGTTTTCTAAATTTAGCCTAGAGAAGCAAAGGAGAGATTTGGGAAATTATCCAAATCTTTGATGTCATTGCATAAGTGGGTGTTAGCTCCTCTTTTTCTAGAACCAATTCCCCAGGATTCTTTGTCAAAATTTGAATATTTAATATACATAAAATATGCATTTAATATATTATACCTAAGTGTAATCTGGGAGTGCCTGCCTGATCAACTGCACGTTTTTTCAAGTTAAAAAATACTTCTAAATACCTGAAGAAATTAAAATACATTTTTGTCTTTAAAAATAAAGCCAGCAGTCAAGAAAAAATAAAGCGCATACATCTGTGAAGAAAAATAATGTGTGCATGTGTGGAGAGGGAGAGAGAGAGAAAGCAAGTGTGGAGAAAGATTAATTTTCCTTTACCAAGCAAAGGTGTTCATTACATAATTTTTCAATTTTCCTGTAGATTTGAAGTTTTGTAAGTGGGATGTTGGGAGGTAGGAGATTAAACAGCTTTACTTTAGTATTCAGCCCCCACACCTGCTCGCATGACTTGTATTAACACCTAGCTCAGTATTTATTTTATTACTTCAAAGACTATATACCCCTCATAACATTATCGTCCCGTATATGCAATCTAAACTAAAACTGACTTAAGTTCACCTAGTGTCAGAATATGCCTAAAAATAAATAAGCTTGGAAAACCTGGCTCAAACCCGAAGAGGGGTTATTCCCTTAGTTGGAAAGAGTTGGCCAGTTTCCTTGGAAGTTTATAAGACAGCACAGTGCCTAGGAACATGCTATGCCTGCCCATGTCTTCACTTGCCTCCAGTGAGCCGTTCTAAATCTTTTGCTCCTCCCACGAGTCAGACCTACGGCGAGTTTTCTAAGTGACCGCTCATTATCTTGTAATGCAGTAAGTCTTCGGCATTGTCTTCCCTGCCGCTAACCTAATCAAGCTAGAATCCCTGAATACAAACGCGCGCTAACAGCTAATCTTCCAGCACCCAGGAAACTAAAGAAGTTGGCAAGCTACAGTAACACATCGCTTTCCCTTTGTCTTACCGTTTGTTTTTTTAAAAGAAACCCAATATATGTACATGGCTTTGAGACACTACGGGGCAATTCTAGAACAACTGGATTTGAAATGAGAGCGAATCGCCGAGTCGGCGAGGACACTCGTTTTCCACCTTCCTCTGAAATGCCGGGGGCGTCAGGATCACATCCCGATCGCGGAGGCTGCGGACCACGGCGGATAGTGGAGAAGGGGGACAGCGAGGGGAGGGAGCAGCGAAAGGTGACAGGCGCCGCCCGGGCCCCAGGGGCACGCAGCTTCCCAGAACCCCGCGCCCCCCGCCCCTCCCCTCCGCTCCCCGCACAGCCTCCCCCGCCCCTCCCCGCCCGGCTCCCTCAAGTCTCCACGAACGGAAATGGGAGTCACAGCGCCGGGGACCAGCGGAAACAAAACACAGAGGCGGCCGCGGGGGGGCCGCTTTGGAGGAAGAAGGCCCCGGAACGACGCCGGCCTGCGCGGGCCCGCACTCCCCTCCTCCCCTACGGCCGCACTCACCCGCTCCGAATCGACCCTGTTGCCCCCGCCCGCACTCCAAAGCCCGCTGAGAACAGCAGCGACGCGGGCTCCACGTGCAGCGTCTCTCCCAGTAAAACGTGCAGCTCCCGCGACTCGAAGTGTGAGGCCCCTGGGCCCTTCCCGCGGAATCAGCGCCGAAACTCCCAACCCCCCTCCCGCCTCCTAGGCACCTCCGGTTTCAGGACTACAACTCCCAGCAGGGTATGCGAAACGAACGCCCGAGGCAACGGAGGCGCACAAGGGAGTACAACGCCCTAGTCCGCTTTGTTTTACACTGTAACTTTGTACGTTCATACACTTCAATAACCCAAGGAACAAGACGCTGATTTGGGGCGGGAGGATTGGAACTAATGGACAGGCCAGTCTAAGTGCGCATGCGTACACAGCAAGGTTTCCAAGAGGGAAAAGCAGGTCAAGTTAGGCGAAGGAAAGATGGCGGAGACGTCGCTAGGGGACCCGGAAGCACTTACCCTCCACTTCCTCCTCCTGTTTGCCTTCTGTCTCACCTAGAGCCGTCCGGTCGCAGACTGTCTCCGAGACGCTTCCTGTCCGGTGAGCGTCGACCGACTGAAACGGCGGCCCATAATGCATTGCGATGGCGGGTAGGCGGGTGGGGGCGGAGCCAGGGCCGGAAGTAGAACGGTGGCGGCGGTGGTGGCTCTGGCAGCTCGGGACTGAGTGCAAGGTGACTGGGGCGGGTAGCTGGACTAGCTTAGCCTCTTGGGACTCGGATTCTGAGTTTCTTCACTGGGCCTGGGCTGCGTATTACCTCAGCCCTTGAGGAAAGAGCAGGTTCTGTCCCAGGCACCTTCCATGTCCTGGCCCGGGGTCACTGCGGACCTCGGCGCTTTTAGGCCTTAAAGTTTGCGGTAGCCTTAATATATAATCCTGATAAAACCCTGATACTACTACTCTGAGGGCAAACGGGGGGCACGAGTTGCAGGGAGGCGGAGGGTTCATGGACAGGCAGCCCAGCTGGGGCAGCCCAAGGTCATGCGGCGCAGGTCTGCAGCCAGGCCTGCCCGACCTGGACGCGCAGGAGATTGTTCTGAACTATTTAAAGCAGAATGTACACCGTAAGAAGGAAGAGGGTGATAGTCTTAAAGTTTGCAACCTGAAAATGTTGATAGTGCTAAAACTTGGTTAGGCAGCGGGGTTTTACATTCTTTTCCCTGCACAATCTTAACACCCAAACAGCTCCAAGGAACAGGACGCTGACTGGGGGGCATGGGGGGCGGGGTGCTTGAACTACGGGAGAGGCCAGAGTGCGCAAGCGAACCCGACAAGGTTTCCAGGAGGGAAAAAGAGTGGGTCAAGTTAGGTGGATTGTGAATTGACTTTAGGAATATGCTTTGAAGAGGCAGCGGAAGGTCTCACCGTTGGCTGGTCATCCATCATTGTAAACAGGAGAACCATGGCCCCCTCTGCACATGCTGTACTCTCCTTGCTGCTGCCTTCCCCAGTCTTTTCTGTCAAATCCCTGTCATGTGCTCTCGTGGCACTACATAGTACTCGAATAGAGAACTTATCAGTTGGCATTTTACGCTTGTTTGTGTATGAAAGTGTCTCCTGCAGGCCAGTGGACAGTCCCTACTCGCTAGATATTTAATCAGTGGGGAAAAAAGTGAAAGGGAATAAAAAGGACAAGTTTTGACAGTGAGACTATGTGTTTATTTTTTAGACAAAGTGAAGTTTGAGGGCCCTGTAGGACTTATGAAGGGATGAGAACTGTTGAATGTATAGGTTTGGAGTTCAGGAAAAAGACCAAACTTAGCGTGTGCTTTGGGAATCTTTAATACTTAGATGATAGACTTCGGAAAAATGAAATGGATTTTACCCATGTTGCAGTAGGAATAACATTTTTGTAATCAGAGCAGATTAACTGGGAATATAAGCAATTCAATAACCTTTCTTATACATAGTTCTATTTTCTGTTACTAGGAGAGATAAGCACAGCGTCTTCTGATTTTTAACAGTACGTAGTGCCATAGGGTGCAAGGAGAGAATATGGAAGTATTGTACGTCACAAAATACTGAGGGCTAAACAAACGTTAGATGACATTATTGCTGAGTGTTAAGCATGTCCTTACATTGCCGGAAGGGAAAACTTACATCCGGTTGCATGACTTAAAAAATATATTTGAATCAGTCAGATTCTACTTTGTAACCTTGGTCCTGGTATTTACCTCTAAACCTCAGTTTCTGTATGTAAAATGGGAATGATGATGAGTAGCACCTTAAAAGTCATTGGTTGTTTGCTCCCAGTGTTTTCTCAAGTGTTTTTCTCTAGTGGGGTATAGGAATGACACGTAATGAATTCTTTAATTTTTTTCAAATAGTGTGCTTCCACCCTAGCTGGTAAAGGGTATTGTGTTGATTGCGGGATTTCTTTGGGTAGTTTTTAGTTAGTATTCCAGGGCTTTTCAACCTTTGCACTATTAACATTTTGGACCAGGTAATTCCTTGTTGTGGGAAGGCTGTTGTTTCTGTTATTGTTATTATAGGATGTTTGGCAGCATCCCTGGCTATTACCCACTAGAAATTAGTAACACCCCATTCAGGACAACCAAAAATGTCTTCAGGTTTGTCAGATATCTCTTGCAGGTTAGCCCCACTCTGTTAGAAAATCCCTCTGCTATTCTACTATCTTCTAGCTTAGTGCTTCTCAAACGCTCTGGTAAAGGGCCATTTCTCCCACAACCGCTGTGGATACTTGTGAAGATACAGTAAAAATAAATTACCAGAAAGATGAGATGCAAGACAAAATAATGAAGACACAAAATACAAACTCTAATTTTTTATTATTAAATTCAACAGATACAAATTATTGTCATGTTGCTTAAAGGTTTCTAAATGCTTATTCCCAATTTTTGTGTTACTCTAAACCAGAAACACAATTTGTATACTACCACTGGTCCACGGACCACACTTTGAGCAGTAGTAATGTAACTTAATAGAAGTCCAGTATCAATATGACGATGATTACTGTTGTTGATATTATTAGGTAATTTGGGGGGGCATGAAAATAATGTTAACATGTCAGATTTTCACTTTAAGATTCAGAAACTTGATCAGGCTATATTGAGGTGTGAATTTTATCACCATTCCAAAATAGGGTGTGGTCATAAGCCTTTTCATTTTAACACACTGTCTTTCTTAATCTGAGGGAAATTTCTTCCAATTTCTTATGGCTTCCTTATCCCTTTTCTTTTGGAATTCCTGTTTTTATATATTTGTTGTAATTTGGAATTTTTTTTTTGCTTTTTTTCTTTGAAGACACTAATTGGGGTCTCAACTGAAATCATCTAATTGATCTACTGAAGTTTTTTAGTTAGAAAATCATGTCTTTTCGCTTCAAGAAGCTGAAGGATTTGGAAGTCTTTAAGTCCTTATTTTTAAAAATCAGATTTTCACCTCCTTTACAAATTCTGTGTCACTGATCAGGTTGTACCGCTTGATGTTCTCTCTCGTTGGTGGGTTCCCTTGGGCTGGTCGCTGTTTTTCCTTGCTGGTTCTTTTGGACTTAGATTTGGTTGTTACAGAATGCCTTGAGTCATGCAGTTTCAACAGGCACAGCAGTTTCTTCCCCTGTGGGTCTGTGAAGTAAACTTCCAGGCTATCCCGACTGAGGCAACTGTCTCCAGTGTCCCCAGCCAGCCCCCTTTTGGCCTTTTGAGGGGGTCAGGGAAACCTAGCACGTTTATTTTGGGGCCAGGATTGTTCTTTTCCTTCTGGGGTTGGGCAGTTTTCTAGCATCCTAACTTGACTATTTCCCCTGGTCCTAGACTAAGTTCATGGAGAAGAAACACCCCTCCTGTATGTTGTGCTTTCTTTCTGCATCTCACCCTAGTGGGGCCACACACAGGCCTGAGTTCCTAACTTCCTAGGTCCCAGAGCCTTTGGTTAAGAAGTAAAAACTTGCAATGAGGAATGGAGAGGGGAATGGAGCGATGGTCATGTGACTGTTCTTAGCATTCACTGAGTTCTGATGTGCTTTAAGTTCTGTAGCAATTAGTAGAATTAGATTTCCACTATAATGTATTTAAAGGCACTTTACAATTACATATATATTAAAGTATACAAATATTCTGGTGCTTGATTTCAGTAACGGAGTCACCATGATTCTTCAGAGGCTCTTCAGGCTCTCCTCTGTCATTCAGGCTGCAGTCTCAGTCCATTTGAGGAGGAATATTGGTGTTACAGCAGTGGCGTTTAATAAGGAACTTGATCCTGTACAGAAACTCTTCGTGGACAAGATTAGAGAATACAGAACTAAGCGACAGTAAGTGGGTAGATGATCAAGTATGGTGTAAATATAAATATTCAAAGTATGTAGTAAGTTTTGAGATGATAATTAAAAAATTACTTGGTGTTTGAAAGTGTCTAAGACCTTCACTGAGCTGATCCCTAACAGGGCTCATGAGGTGCTCCAAAAGAAGGAGAGAAGATCTGGATTTTTTGTAAGTCCCAATTTTATCTTTTTTTCTATGGGTTCCCAGGGAGTATCCCATTAAATCTATTGTCATTTAAGATGTATCCTTATTACACTGTTATTATATATTAGAGTCGATTCATAGAAATATCACATAGGATCTTGTAACTCATTTAGGAACTATACAGTAGTTACGCCTTATGCGTGGTTTCACTTTCTGTGGTTTCAGTTACCTGCAGTCAACCTAGGTCCAAAAATATTAAATGGAAAATTCTAGAAATTAGCAGTTTTAAATTGCACACCATTCTGAGTAGCATGGTGAAATCTCTTGCTGCCCTGATCTGTCTGGTCCAGGGTGTGACTCATTCCTTTGTTTAGTCCTATCCATGCTGTGTATGTTACCTACCAGTCGGTCACTTAGTAGCCACCTTAGTTATTAGAGAGAGACAGACCACGGTCACATAACTTTTTTTTTTTAGCTGAGCCATCCTGCCACCTGTTGGCAGCTCAGCTCGGGTTGGGAATCGAACCAGCGACCCTGTTGCTCAGAGCTTACTCTTTTTTTTTTATTGTGAAATACACATTTTTTAGAATTAGTTTCAGCTGTACAACACAGTGCAATAGTTATACTTTTTGCTCCTCGAAGTGACAACCCCCCTCCCCCAATCCGCCGCCCCACTCCCCCCCAATATCATACAAATCTATTACAATTCCCTTGACTCTACTCCCACACTATACTCCATGTCCCATGACCAT